ATTTTAAAATAAATCTTAAGAATTTCATGGATTTATGATTTAATTTTTCCTGAAAAATTAATCAAGCTTATAAAATTTATGGTTTCTTGTAACTAAGATCTGTGCGTGCTTATGTGAATATATAGAAAACCTGTAAATTTGGGTGTCTGTCCAGCATGGAGATTTTACAATTTATAAATGCATTGCAAATAAGGCAAAACATGTGATACTCTGATACACTGACATATAATCTTCACCTTCAGAATCCTGCTAATGTCTGACAAGAATGTTAGGCAAATTTCAAGAGATAAATGATATTCAATGAATAAGAGCCTTGTCCGCACCTATCATATTGACATAACCATCAAAATCTCAAGATATTTTTGTTAACATAAAACTTAATTTTTTCCACAATTTGATTGGATGAAATCAAGAGAGGTGACCCATAATTGGACTTCTGACTGGTCCTCTATGTGAAGGAAATCCCCAACCTGTGTATGCAACTACTTATGTAGTACAATAGCCTAGAATTTACATTCATTTTTTTTTTGCAGTCCACATGATATAATTATATATTTCATTACTTAACTATAACAAAATTTCTGCGTGGGACACATGATCTGGTACACCAAAACTGGCACCTGCCACCTTAGCGATTTTTAGTTCATTAGTATATATATTGTTTTGTCTCCCGCGTAACGCGTTGCGGGGGACATGGAAAAACCGGGCGTTCGTCCATCCGTGTGTCCGTCCGTCCGTCCGTTAGTCCGGTCTTGTTAGCGCTCTCACGGGTCCAATTCTTTTTTTAATGGAGTTATGCCCCTTGGAAATATTAAATTTATGGAAAATGACCGCATTAGCGCTCTCACGGGTACAATTCTTGCAAGATTTTTATAAAACTTATACTATAGGTTAATATTAGCAATATCTCGGACAAGTTTTATAATGGTGGACGATCGACGTTTTTTAAAAAAGTTATGCCCCTTGGAAATATTAAATTTGTGGAAAATGGCCTCGTTAGAGCTCTCACGGGTACAATTTTTGCCAGATTTAAAAAAAACTTATATTATAGGTTAATATCAGCAATATCTCGGACAAGTTCTTTAATGGTGGACGATCGACGTTTGTAAAAGAGTTATGCCCCTTGGAAATATTAAATTTATGGAATATGGCCTCGTTAGGGCTCTCACGGGTACAATTCTTGCCAGATTTTTATAAAACTTATACTGTAGGTTAATATCAGCAATATCTCGGACAAGTTCTATAATGATGGACGATCGACTTTTTTAAAAGAGTTATGCCTCTTGGAAATATAAATTATGTGCAACGCAGGGGACATTGGAACTCTGTTCTTTTATTCTTTTTCATTTTATTAATTTTCTAACCGTAATTGGGGACTTCGTCCTCATAGAATGCATAAGTTGATAGCTATAGAGTTATTGATTATTTATCTTATACTATGGGCATTTATCTTTTTTTTCGAGCTGTGAGTTGGTGTCTGTTTTGTTCCTTGATCGGGAATACCAACGCCTGTAAAAGCAACACCAGTTTAAAAAAGGTACTGACATTCCGCCTCTACATTCTATATTTTTGAGGCCAAAGTTTTTGCAGAGTCAGAATTCCCGCAATGCACCTCAAACTCAAGTCTCGAAAGTAACGGCTGATAAACATGCAATTACATATGCTTCTCATTCACCGGGGGGATGGGGGGACGGATGATTTGCAACACATTCAATAGTCGTAGGGGTTGTTTTATGCCACAATGTAAGTTTGAGCATTCATGTGCTATACCTGTGTGTGCTGAAAAACATTCAGCTTTTCAGCATACTAAAAATAGAAACAATGGCGAAGCCTATGCGTGCTCTTGATATATCTGCATGTACTAATGAATTAAGTAATGATTTTGACAAAGAATTGTTGTAATTTGGTATAGAACATGGATTTGACATTGTCACGAATGTCCCTCCGGCCGGAGAATGTACGCTCCATAAATCATCCTTCAGCAAAGCCTAGTATAGCCCTTTTTATAAACAGTCACATAAACAAATTTTAACAAAATTGATAATTGATTGTCAACTCTCCCCCGAAAATTACCATTCCGCTTGGGGTTATCCCTAAATCTGAAGGTGGGGTTCGGATAATTCATGATCGCAGCCGTCGAAAAGTTTCTGCAGTAAATGATTTTGCAGGAGAAACTGATAAACAAAAATTTCAAACATTAGATGATGCATGTAAGTTATTTTCAGATTTTTTTTTATATGTCAAAAGTGGACCTAAAGGCCGCTTATAGATCTGTCAAAATAAGTGAACAAAGTCGAGAGGTTACTGGGCTTACATGGATTTTTCTTGATAGTCATGATTACACTTTCATAGATAAAAAAAACTTCTGTTTGGATGAAAATTTGCACCGGGTATTTTTCATAGATTATCCCAGGCAATTCGCAGAATGATGTCACGTAGAGGCTTCACCAAAGTGGCATCTTTAGATTTTTTTTATTTGCTAGGAGACAAAGAAGCGCTGCGCTCAGGCTTTAGCGATTTTAATTGCTTTGCTAAGGAAGTTAGACTTTTGTATCAGCTGGTCTAAAGTTACAGACCCCTGCCCAAAAACTGTATTTTTAGGGGTTGAGATAGATTCTACCACTTTAGAAATTAAATTTCCTACTTCAAAATTGCATGATTTGAAATCAGAAAAACTAGTAGCTGAATTTTGATTGCGTAAGCGTGCTTCAAATAAGCAATTGCAATCTTTAGCGGGAAAGCATAATTGGGCATCTGCTGACAGACCAACAGACAAACAATAGTACTCAAAACACAACATAGAAAACTAAAGACTGAGCAACACGAACCCCACCAAAACCTGGGGGTGATCTCAGGTGCTCCGGAAGGGTAAGCAGATCCTGCTCCACATGTCACACCAGTAGTGTTGCTCATATTAGTACAAACCCAGTAATCAGTCTAATTCGGTAGGTCACATTCGGGAAAAGGGAACGAGATTGTAGATACGACATTAGGAACATATCCGCTATCATCTATGAAACGGATATTTCGTAACGGTAAACCAACCCGTGATGGCGTCCGTAAAATTTACGAAGTGATTATTACAACTGGTGTCTACCAAAATGATTGGTTTTATGTAAATTTGGCGGAAGATCACCCCTTTGCTTTGCAACTTCACATAAATGAATTAGAGGCTTTCTCAGTGGCGTTAGCAATAAAGCGATGGGCCCCAACTTAGCGTGGCCAGCGTATTATAGTTCATTGCGATAATGCGGGTATTGTAAGTTACATTAATGAAGGTACATAAAAAAATTCTATTTTTGATGTCCTTTTTGCGTGAGCACTTTTAGTTATCAGCAACATTCACTTCATTGCTAAACATGTTCCAGACTGTATTTTACGGAAGCAAGACTTGCCTTTTTGTGAACAATTTTTATGTGTTTATGTTCAACCACCGCTTTATTAACAGGATCTTGTTAGGCACATGTCTAGTAATGCCCTTCGTTTTCTTTTTTTACGGCTTATCGGTATCAATGGAGGTGAGATCACTAGATAGTATTGTTGCTAACTTTAGATGTCGTACTTATGTTGAATCTACCAAAAAGACAGGTCTAAACTATTTCAAGTCTTACACAAAATTTTGTAGAAGATTAAATATTACCCTTGTTTCATTAAGGCCTACGAATTTAGCCAGATATGTAGCCTATTAATCTTCTGAGTTACAATTTAATTCCAGAACAAATTATTTGTCAATTGTGCGGTTGCTACATTTAGAATCAGGAGTTGCATCTCCGATAAATTCTTTTTTTTTATGGAGTTAGTACCCAAGGGTGCTAAACGTGTGTTAGGTTGAGCAGTACATAGCAAATTGCCCATAACACCCATAGTTTTGAATGAAATATTCACTTTGCTGTCAGTCAGTAGTAGTAAGGACTTATGTTTTTGGGCAGCCTGCTTAGTGGCATTTTTCTCCTTTTTAAGCAAATCAAATTTGTTTGCTCCTTCAAATTTAGCTTTTTGATCCTGCGCGACATTATACTCGTGAGGATTTAATGTTTAAGTACGCAATACAATTCAATTTTCAGAGCGTATTTTAGAAATTCCCCTTCTTAGAGTGAAAAAAATCTCTTTTATGTCCCTCCAATGCGCTTCTTCTAAATTTCAGGTGCCAGCAGTTTTATCCATTCACCTGTCTTTCTGTATTAAGTACGAGACAAAGTTACCCCTCTAACATATACAGCTTTTGTAAAGATGCTAAAACAGAACTTATCTCGGTTGAGTTATGACAGCAGCAATTATTCAGGACATAGTTTTTGCAGAGGAGAGGCCTCCTTTGCCTTAGAATGTGGGGTTCCAGCTGATCTCATTCAATCACAGGGTGATTGGAAATCTGACGCATACACATCATACTTAGATCTATCTTTTGCACATAGACAGGAAGTCATGAAAAAATTTGCACTTGCCCTGGGGAAATAATAAACCACTTTAAACTAACTTCTTCTGATTAAACCACACATGTTTGGGAAGTTTGGAATACCTCAGATCATTAATTAATTAATTTGTGTATTGATTTCAAACTATACTGCTGTTTGTGCTTTATTAATATGAAATTTAAGCCTTAAACTGTCTTTGTTTTTACTCTAGAAACCATCTGGATTTACAGATCTCTTGACTGGATTCCGATCAGAATTAGACATTGACACACGATCTGATTCAAACAGCATCAATACACACAGGGGGAGGGAAATGGTTGGGCTGTTTTGAAAGTGATGTGGATTAATGTGAAAGATATATCGATGTTGCATGAAGAAATTGATAGATCATAAATGCAAACAATAATTTCCATAACAATTTTTATTTTATTACCATTGAAACATGTTATCATTTTTAAAAGGTTATTTTAATTGAGCCTAAACATGAATAGATATTTTGGGTATATGTCAGAAAAAAATCTCATGAGTCAGAAAAAATATGAATAGAAATTGTTTCATAATATAAAGGACATGCAATATTATTTGCAGGTGGTCACCATTACAATATCACCAGACAGTAAATGGGTTGCATCTAGGTGTCTTAATAACATGCTGATACTCTGGGACATCACTACTGGAACAGACGTCGTCCAATTGAAGATCCCCTCTGATGTTCAACAGATGAAATTCACAGCTGATTCTAAACACCTGGTAATCAATACAGGATCCGGATTTCATAATACTAGAATGTTAGTGTACAGACTTCATCCCGGACAACAGTGATACACATGAAAAGTTTACACAATGGTATTTTGCTTCTATGTTTTTTTTAAATACTCTACAACTCACAATCTTAACACAAACAGTTGTCTGAGTTTGATATTTTCTAAAGAGGAAATCTAAGAGTCTTGAAACTGAGTTTACGGATTGATAGATACAGATTTCATATACAGGAGGTAACTTGTTCACAGGAAAAAAAGGTGGAGATATGCAGAATCTTTTTGAATATCACTTGTAACAGAAAGTTATGAATAGGCAGGTTATTTGATTACAGAATTGGTTCATTTTTATCGTAGATTGCTATAGCTAGTGTGGAATACAAATTTAAAAAGCACGCAAAAATGAGTACCGATTTACAGTATTGTAATTCATAGTTGTACTAGTGGAGTGACAAATCAAGAAAAAGGTGCTTATTTTACGACTTTAATGGACCGGCATAACTGCAGGCTAAAATTATTTTTTTGCAAAGCCAATACCTTAATCTTACTATTTTGCCTAGTCGTAGCCATTTCCTCTGGTGCAGTTTTCCATAAAATGGAATAAAAAGCCTGACAAGTTTATTTTTCCATTCAAAATGCAACTCGACAAAGTATTTACTTTTGTTTCTTTTTTAGTCTTCAAACTATTGATTTGGCATATTATGAAAGTTTAAATGCTTATTCATATTGTAAAACTATAGTTCCTTCCATTTAACTTTATTTTTTTTCGTTTTCACTCATTTTTAAAAATATACACTCTGTCTTATTTCCACTGAGTGTTTACAACATTTGTAAATTTACATTACATCGATATCTTCCAAATTGTTGTGTTAAAAAGTAATAAAACTACATTTTTTATAGTTATGAGACATAGGGAGAGTAATACGGCGGCAGCGTTAACTAACTGCTTAAAAGCTTAATACTTTAGAAGGTAGAAGACCTGGATGCTTCATACTTTGTATATAGATGCCTTATGTTATGAAGTTTGCATCTGTCATATGTCCTTTATCCTTGACCTCATTTTCATGGTTCAGTGCTTACTTGAAAAAAGTTAAGATTTTTGTAATGTTAATTTCTCTCTTATACGATTATATATTTAGTATGTGCTTACCTTGCACGGTCCTCATGCCTGTCAGACAGTTTTCACTTGACCATCGACCTCATTTCATGGATCAGTGAACAATGTTTTCGTGGTCAAGTATCTCAGATACTATAAGCAATAGGTATAATATATTTGGTGTATGGAATGATTGTAAGGTATACATGTCCAACTGACAGGTATCACACCTTGACCTCATTTTCACGGTTCAGTGGTTAAAGTTAAGTTTTTGTGTTTTTGGTCTGTTTTTCTAATACTGTATGCAATAGTTTGTGTATGGAAATATTTTTTGATGTACATGACCTGGATCTTATGTTCACGGTTCATTGCTCAATGTTAAGTTTTTGTGTTTTGGTTTGTTTTTTGTCTCGCCTGACGCCCTCCCCCCTAGGCCATGGGTCCAGTAACTTTGAACTTATTAGCAATTTTAAATAATAAGTGAGACTAAGGCATTGCTTCTCCGGCGACGGCTGTAGTGACGGTGTCAACAATTGTTAAGTTTTCTGCTTAAGTCAGTTTGATAGGAACTACTTGTGATAGATCATTGATATTTTGTATGAAGATGCATTACTATCAGTACATATCAGTTTGACGACAATTTTGAGGCCCTGCCCCCTAGGCCATAGCTCCAGTAACTTTGAATTAATTACCAATTTTAAATGTTAAGTTTTCTGCTTAAAGTTAGTTTGATAAGAACTACTTGTGATAGATCAATGATATTTTGTATGAAGTTGCATTACTATACGTACATATCAGTTTGACGACTATTTTGAGGCCCTGTCCCCTAGGCCATGGTCCAGTGACTTTGAATAAGTAAGCAAGAATGAATGTTAAGTTTTCTGCTTAAGTTAAATTGATAGGAACTACTGGTGATAGCTCAATGATATTTTGTGTGAAGTTGCATTGCTATCAGTTCATATCAGTTTGACGACTATTTTGAGGCCCTGACCCCTAGGTCATGGTTCAGTGACTTTCAATTAATTAGCAATTTTCAATGTTAAGTTTTCCGTGTAAAGTATTGTTTCTTAGATATATATTTAATATGTTAACTATATTTGATCCATGGAATGGCTGTAAAGTGTACATGTCTGTCTGGTAGGGTTCATCTGACCTTGACCTCATATTCATGGTTCATTGGTCAATATAAAGTTTTCACGATTTGGTCTGTTTCCTGTATACTATAGGCAATAAGTCAACTATAGTCAATGTATGGAATGATTGTAAGGTGTACATGTATTTCTGGCTTGGTTTATCTGACCTTTACCTCATTTCCTGGGATCATGTTAATTTAATGTAATACTTTATATTTAGGGCTTTCAACATAAAATCAATGGTAGTAAAGCAGGCGAGACACTTCAGCGTGTGCACTTTTTTTATTGTTTTTTTTTCAATCACAACAAATTGAACAATGTGAGGGAGGAACAGATAAACCCTGTGTCTATAACTGCATTTCATTAATTGTATGTATAGCCAAACACGTATTTACAATGAAAAAAGATAAAAAGTGACAAATTATGTCAAAATGGTTGTATTGCTGTGATCATTTTTACATATGATTTACACATTTCCATGTTTAATTAATCCCTTTTGAAATATAGCATATACCAAAACAATTGTATTTTTATTTTTTATTTATTTGACATGTAATATATATTATTCTGTTAGAATAGACTATTTTAGGCATTTAAAACTATGCAATATAATTTTTTTTAGCAAGAACGACTTTTTACACACTGTGTTTTACCAATTTATTTCCTTGTATTATCAGGTATATATTTGAAATATGATAATGTTTACTTAGTCTTGTATATTTATATTATTAGCAGTAGAAAATTGAAAAAACACGTTAAATAATTTCATGCGTCCGAAGCGCTTTTCTGGATTTACCTTCATCAGGAACGCTTAAAGCCAAACATTTGAAATCCGAGGATGTATAAGTACCGAACTGTTGAAGAGCTATATGACAAAAATACCTAAAAAAAATTAGCCAAATTCATCTAAGGTCAACTTTGCCTGAGGGAGTTGAAACCTTAGTTTCTTTATAATTTCGAAATTTAGTAGTCGTCACAAATGTTGTAGTTTTATATCAAATTTTATTAATTTTCATAGAGTTTGTCATATTGTCCTTCTATGGCACACCTATGGTAGATCATGTTGAAAAAATAAATTCTTGGAGGAAAATTTCTCATACAACTATTATGGATTCTACAGTAGAGATGTTATATACAATGATGTTGATATTATTTTTGAAATGCTGGCTTTTACATCCATGGATGCAGGAATTTAATTTTACTTTTCAACTACCTCAAAACTAAGCATTGACGAAGTTGATGAAATTTATTAATAAAAAAAAAAATCTAGAAAGTTGTTGAATATATTTAAAATCTAAAACTGAATTCTGTTACTCTGTTGTCCAGTTTTTTTAAATAATTTTTAATGTTAAGAAACTTAAATAAAACTATGAATTTAATGTTTTTGCTTTTTGTTTAAAGAACAATAAATGTAATGTTTCAGCAATTTTGTATGCTTGTTAGTAATCCTAAATAATCTGACAAAAAGAAGGAAATTGTATCATCCTTAGGTTTCCTGAGGTTTCGATCCTAATTATTTTAGTTAAGGATGTATTCTTCTGATATTTCAGTCTCGTTGAAATCTTGTTCTGGAAATTATTTTCCAAAACATGTGATACAAGTGGAAAATATCAATGAATTTAAAAAACGTTATAATCAACCTAAATTTTGTGAATACATTGCGTACTTACAATAATGAATTATTGTGTAATAAAATTTTCAAACCATCCAGTCAGTGTCACCAGCCAAAATGTTGAGAAAATAGGTGAGGAGTACAAAGAATGATTTTAACAAAAATATGTACATCCCATATCAATTTTTTCGTTTCAAATTTTTAGATATGTGTATTTTTTCAATCATTTATAACACAACAGTTGAAATAATATACTTTTTGTTCTAAAACAAAAAGGAGAAAAATCCCAAATTTACAAAATTAACAGCATGGTCAATTTGACACAAAAAAGCAACAAAATTTTATAAAATTTTCTAATATTTACACCAACCCATAGTTTTTTTAATTTTAATTTATTCTGATTGGTCCACTTCATCTTTAGTGATAATAGCCCAAAAATTGGTAAAAATTGATGAAAATGGGAAAATCATTATAAATGGAGTACTTCCAAATGGCTGTAGCAAAAAAAGAAGTACACCACCATATGATTTTTTTCTTCATCAATTACTTTCTTACAGTCATATAAACCCAAAAATCATGTTAAGAAAAAAAGTATAATTCTAGGAATTTTTGGCTCCTCAGAGGTGTACATCCTTAACTGGCATTCTTTTTAGTTTACGATTCCATTTATAAATTTAATCATTTATTAAGACATGATTATTTTCACACAAAAATATTTTAATAAACTGAAAGTTACATATTGAAATGGGAAGTTCCATGTACCATTTAAACTTTTTTTGTTCTTTTATTTCATCACACAAGGAAATAATTTATTCTCTTCAGGTCATTGATATTGTCATCACAGTTTTCTAATCTAGTCCTAAACAGAGAAGGCATTTAAGATTAACCATTGTGATTTATGTTTCTCAATTATGATAGACAATTTTCAAAGAATTACATCTTTTCAATTGGCTTGTAAGCAGACTTTGGCAAAACCATGAAATGAAATATCCACGAAAATGCTAGGTTTACTAAATCCATGAAAATTGGTATCCACAACAGTTGATGAATCCACTGTACAAAATATGAAGTTCCGCCTGGTGATTGTTCTCAAGTAAAGATGGATATGACTTGTTCAGATGTTTATAATTTCATTACTATTGTTTTTTTTCTTTGTCTTGATTTTCCATCTCCACCTTAAAGTCTCAAATATATTATTTTCCTATTATTGTTTTGGTTATACTCAGATGCCACATGTTTTTATTATCCCCGGCTTAGTATATTTCTCGGATTTTGATTGGCTAATGCACGGCGTTAAAAAACCCATTACCATCGGGTGTTGCTAACCCACATACCGGTACGTTGCTACCCATAATACGCCAGTTCCGGGATACGGTATTTA